CATATAAGTATTACATATAATATCGCACATACAAGCGTCAAAAACAGTTAAGTAGAAAAGCATTATTTACTAAGGTATTTTATAATTAACTAAACAGGTTAGATAAAATTACCATGTACTTAAATGACTTAACTATTTGATATTACTAAGCATGATAAATTCAGTATTAAATATAAGTTTAATAATTACTCATATTTAGCTCTCATAAATGTATTATGGTCTATGAAAAAAAAAACGCGTACTTTATATTTAACTATTTCATTTTATAATCCTGTCTTCTCTTTTGAATAATTTTTTATAATGCCATTTTTAACTAATAAAACTACTTAAAAAAGTAATACATTATCATCTTTTATCATCCTCATATATTGTATTAGCTTTGAATACGTCTATTTCTTTATAGGTACCTTAAATAACTGATAATTTTTAGTAAAAGATTATTTATATCTGTATAAAATTAATTCGATTGGATCCAAAATATTTTGAATATTTTATTGTGCAAGGGAGTGTCATGTCTTCCTAGAAAAAATAAGTTTTGAATAATAAATTAATTTTATTGGTGATATAAAATATGAAGTAGATATAGGCTTTTATCGTAATACTCCATCAATAAATCCATCAAACTCATGTGGGTTCCATATCACATCGGCATCTCCGGTAATGAACTCGCTGACGAACTGGCGATGAAAGCTGCTAGCTCCCCGGACACCAAAATATACCCGCATGTAACATACGACGATATAATCCGCGTCCTCACAACGAAATTATACACCCTCTGGCAGAATCAATGGGAAAAACAATCCAACCAAAACAATAAACTCAGACAAATAAAACCATTAACCAAAAAATGGCCGGACCCTCCAGTCAAGCTTACACGACACGAAGAGACCATGATCGCCAGAGTACGCATCGGACATACCAGAATCACCCATTCCTATCTTATGCGTAGAGAGCTCAAACCCAGGTGTGAAACATGCAACTRCGAACTCACCGTTAAWCATATATTCCTAGAATGCCCCACTTACCATAACGCYAGATCAAAAGCAAAMATAAACACCTCCTCACTCAAAGACGCACTCGGACCAGGACAAGAAAAAAACATAGTAAACTTCATCAAGATGGCCGACCTTACAACCAACATATAAGACAAGAACCAAAGACAGCACATCACAACTATCAAATCTCCATTACATTATAAATTAAACACGTAAACCATTGTAGGCTAATAAACATTTGTATTTGAAGCCTTTAATTAATAATAATAAAAAAAAAAAATGTTATTATAAATATTTTATGTAAATACAATTATTTAATTTTGAATTACAACAAGAAAAAATTATATTCTGTTGTGTGGATACATGATGCCTACCTATTATTCAAATTTTTCTTGACTCCCATTATTATGCATACCTATGACCTATGGTTTAAAAATTCTTTGTGAGTGCGGTAATATCAAGCAGTAATAAGACGTATTATTGAATTAGAGGCTATTATTGATTTCAAAAAGTCAAAATGTTTTAACATGGTATCAATGAGAATGAATTTCCATAAAAATAAATATTCAAATCAGTACTTATGATTTTATTATAAAAATAATTAAAATTATTACTGAAAATAAATTTAATTAAAATTGAATAATATAATAAAATAAACATATTTTTTAATGTTTGTATTATGAAAGAAAATTTTAAAAAGGTTTATTGCTCGTTGCTCGTATATATATATTATGAAATTCATGTTCCTTGATTCCACATAACTTTCTATTTAATCATACGCTCAATAACTTTTAAATAATTTACTTAATACCTTTTTTTTATTATTTAATATGAGTTAAATATTCAAACAAAAATTGAAATATTTTAGACTTGAGATTAAACATTAAAAACTATTTCTATATAGTAATGAACCATAGTATTAACTGATAATTGATATTATATATTTCAGTGGCAAAACGAACCTAAAATAACCCATAAGCAAACTTACAATTTACACACCCGCCCACCGACTGTAGGCTATAGGTACCTATTATATATTTAAAATATTTTTTTTTACAATAAAAATTTACCTCCAAACCTTAAAAAAAATCGAGAAGCAATCGCTTCTCAAAGACCCACAGTCGTTTCGCCACTGATATATTTTGTAATGCGACAGATTGTGAAAATGCATTGTAAAAAATTGAGTCGATCCTATAAGTTCATTTATATGAGGTTATAATAAATAATAATAGCATACCTCATCTGTCATCACGAATTGTAACACATTATAACACGGAGATTAGTCAATTAATGAAAATACCTGGGGATAATATGCCGACTTTTTATACTATAAAAATCTTAATGTATTTATAATGACCATTTGTTTTCATTCATATTTCTAAGCCATTAATTCGCATTTGTTAATATTTTAAAATAAAATTTCAAATAGATATGTACATTGACGGATAGCTTACTATTAGAATTAGATTACAACTTTGTAAATTTATCAAACACGAATAAATTGCCCATAATAGGTACTTTTAAATTATTATATCATATTATAGATAAGTGATAAAATAATAATATTTTTTGATGTCCGCTTTCTAAGTTTTTGGCATATAATTGTTTTCTAACTAAACTCTCACCATTAACAATATCTTTTTGGACAAATACCAAATACATAATTGGAAGACAATAATTGTCAATAACAATAATGTCAAAAACTTTCTATTCTTCGTGAGATTTTGAACCAAATATTAATTTTAGTACCAACTAAACATAAATGCAAGCAATACAGGTAGATTAATATGGGTACAATATAAAATCCTGTTATAATTAATAATTTAAATTATATATAATGAATATTTAACTTATTTGATTACTGCCTAAATATAATCTTAAATTCATGGAAAATTTGAACAGCATTAACTGATAATTGATAGTTTTTAAGCCATACAAAACAACTTTTATTCTCAAACACGTAAAATAATTAAAATTAATAAATAATGTCATAATACTCATAATACTCATAAGTCATAATGTTTACTTTAAATATAGCGTAACTTACAAAAAAAATTACTATTATTTAACTATTGGAACAGAATATAATATAAGGACATGTTTTTAACAATTTAAATATTTTTAAGTTCAGAATGTGTAATGTAAATTACTAAGTAATGTTTATGAAACACGAATAGATTACCTGTTTAAAATAGATTTCTATTATTACCAACCAACTTAATTTTTTTACCGTTCAAGTTTGTAATATAATTTTGGCCATCATATCTTGTATACTAAATATAATATGATTCGTAAAATATTAAACTTATCAATTAACAAACTATTTATTTTTTCGTTAACACAAATCTTTTATTTATTTTTTACTATCATATCTTAATGATTGGGTGGTGAAAATGTGCATATAAATAGAAAATAGCTTGTAATTAATTGTGAAATCACAGATTTATAAAATGTTCTATACATTTGTATAGTTAAAATTAATTTATATACCTACCTATTAACAAGCGAAAAGTGCGGTTTAAATGATTGTGAATATATAAAATGCAGAGGAAATGTGAAATGTTAAATATCAGGCAACTACTGTATTTTAAATAGAATTATAGAATCTATACGAATTCGTGGGGACAGAAAAAATGATAGATTGGTTTTCCACCGATAACTTTCGGTTACGAGTAGGTTTTGCACTATTTACTCTACGACCCTTTCCGTTGAACAATCGGTGATAATTATTTATAGTAACCACATACTCATTGACTGTGTGATTACTTTTCGAATAATTACAAATCAATGACAGAGGTTTTTCATTTTTACCTCTCGACGTTTGTAGACTCGATGGTTAGTCCTGACCTTTAAGCTACTGTCAATTTTATCGTTTTGGCGATACTAAAAATGTACCTAAATGTAAAATGTTACCTAATATTTGATATTACACGGTAGTCTCCGTCATTACAATGCCTATAACTGATATAGACTGCAATTGGAGAGGATTTTTCAAAGAGGGTTGAGAATACGTCAGTGCCTTTTCTTCTAAATATAATATTTTACTTATATACTAGGCAAGGGCGCCCACCAGGGAGTGCAAGGGGGTGACATGTCTCTCTCTTAGAGAAAATATTGTAATAAGTTGTTGAAAAATTTGGTTTGAAAAAACGCAATTTACAGTTTATGCTTCAAAATCTTATTTTTGTTCACATTTAAAATGTATATTTGTTTCATTATTTAATAAAATAAATTCGATCGATTCTTAGTTTTCGAGTTATTTATTTTATGACTGTCATCCCCTTAGGTTTTGATAGATGGGCGCCCTTGATACTAGGTATTTTATAAACGATGCCGTTTTAGGCATTAGAGTCGGCGACATTACTACGACATAAGTATGCAATACATACGATCATAGGCGCCAGGTTTTGTAAATGCCAATGGGGGCCGAATTTGCTACATATTAGCCTTAACTTTTGCTCTTCAAAATAATTTAAATATGTGGTTAAAGAGTAGAGACGCGGGAAGTGGACTACTTATATCTATATTTTTAATTGTATCCTCTTAAATTTTAAATCAGGGGAACACTCAAAATTTTTCATTAATAACGGTTCCCCTCAAATTTTTAGTCACTTAAAGTCCTAGTTTAAACTAATTCAAATATGTAAAATATGATAAAATAAATACTACCTGTAGTATAACACAAAATAAATTAAAAATATTTATTTACTTTAATTTATTTAACATTTACAATGTTCTCGAATCTCGGATATATTATTCTGTAAACRTGATTTGGGAAATTYAAATCTCAATMTTTTCAATGGGGGCTGAGCCCTGACTCCATCTTTTCAATGGGGGCTGCGGCCCCCGAGCCCCCATGTAGTCGGCGCCTATGCATACGATTATATGATACTGCAAGAGAGACATAGCTGACAATCGTGCAGATTCAGCGTTCTAATCAATGCTAATATTTAGGTATATTCTACACCCGTAGAGCAAATTATAATATTATAAAACCTACAATACCTTGTGATCAATCGCCCAGCATTTAAATTCCTCGGCCGACAGGTGCTACCGTGTGCTAAATGTACGGTTCGGTGTCGTCTGTTTCGATCTTTAGCGGGTTTTTGACAATTCGCATTCGGCTGAACCACACTGTCTAGGTATACCGTGTGCGAGTGTACGGCGGACATTCAATACGATGTAATATGTGCGCGAAATGTAGCTATGTAATATATTTTTCATATGTAAAACGTGTGTGCATCAAACAAAATAAACAAAATAATGAAGTAACCGGCGATAAGATTCGGAGTGAAAAGCGACTAAAAGGACACGAAGAATCGCGGATGAAACGAAGAGAAAAAAGGTTTTACATGACGGTGACGAGAGGAGTACGATCAGTGGCGCGTTCGTCGGGACACTGTGCCACAACAAACAACAAATAACCAACACGCACGACGCACCGGTGTGCCGCCCGGATGAGGGACCAGGAGATTTTTGGAGTGGCGCACGCAGGCCGCAAACCCGACTTGTTGTGCGAACGGCGAGCTCTCTCTAGCGGACACTTCTCGAACTTTGCGCGCGAAACGATTTGGAAACACAAATAAATTTATATTACATACATATTGATTCATAATTATTTAAAACATTTTATTGATAATCATATTATATTATATTCGTCGTGAATATATATTTATTTAATACTGTGGATAGTAATTAATAGCTGAGCTGAGCTGGTTAATATTTTCAAAACAGAATTAATAGTTTTATTAAAGTAGGTATAGGTAGCAAGTTGTAATATATTATACGGACTATTATTGAAATCGGTTATATCTTATAAATATGATATAAACTTTAATTAACGACTTAGAAATTTGGATGACGGTGATGAGTGAAATCTGATAAGACTTGGATATAAACTATGAACTAAGAAGATAAACTGTATCTTAAATCGCGATATAAACTATATTACTCACATATATTTTGTGTAAAATGTGAAAATGTCAGTCACATACTCACACAGGTTAGGTTAGGTATACATGTCAGTCTGTCACGTTTCAATTTCGATGTCGAGATCAGGTTGCCAGTAAATAGGTGGGTTGGATTTAATTTTTTGTAGGAATTAATGTTTATCAATATCAACTTACACAATCAACCGCGGGCATCGACACATTCCAAAAATGGAATTAGAATATGATCATATAAAACGGATGACGACTGCCGAGTTTTCTTGTCTATTATAATTTATAATATATTATGTATGTAATGCAGTGGCGTGCCCAAGGGGGGGGGAGGTTAGGGGTTATATCCCCCCTCATTGGCTTTTTTTTGTTAACTTCAACTTATTAGATATTACCATAGACATATATAAACATTTATATATGGATATGGATATTACTTTTAAAATTATCAGTAATAAGTTATTGCTTATAAATTATTTCCCATTGGCTATTATAAACATTCACTACCTATACGGATTATACTGATTATAGATCAGTGATTATGTATTCATGTTCATGTGCAATAAAGTGTGCTCTAAGTAATAATTAATAATTAATTATGTTTATGGTAAGATATAAGATAGAATGATGGATCATGTATAAATATAAATTTTCGTTTGGAATAACGAATAACTAAGTTGTTTTTAAGAATTATTTTTCTTTTGTATATTAATTATTTTAATAAAGGTTATAAATGTTTTTAGTTTAATGTTGTCATTTTATTTAAACAATAGTGTATAGTGTGTGGCTATTTAAATTAATTCTAATTGTAGAATGATACTCAATAATATGCATAAATGTACATTTGTTTAGCAATTTTTGTGTTTGGATAACCATGATTAATTTAAATGTACCTAATTTTACTAAAAAATGTATAACATATATCCCTCCCCATTGAAATTTCCTGGGCACGCCACTGATGTAATGGCCAAAATACCTTTGGTGGTGGGAGGGGTAGGGGATTAATTCCAGGCAAGTTCACGTCCTAATTGTGCACCCTAAGTAATTCTCAAGTCTCAGTTCACGTCAAAAACGGTGAAGTACGATATCTACGTGATATTCTAAGGTATCTAAAACTTTAGGAAACATTTTTAAATGATTTTACATAGGAAAAATAATACCTAAAAAATGTTTCAAACTAAACTGTAAAAATATTACTTAAGAAATTTAGGGGAAAAAATGCATTTTCATTTTATATGTTCATAAATAATTCAAAAAACTTAGCACAATAAAACTATAGTAAGTGTGGCCTGGTGTGGAGCAATGGTTTTCAGCCGCGTAAGACGTAACGTATTTTCTGTGAAAGTATCGGCCAGTGTCACTATAGTCCGCGGATCGGATGGGTGACCTCCCCGGTTTTAAGGTCTGACTGGTAGGTTTAAGTAGTTATGAAATTTGACTATACGGACTCAATTCAAAGATATTAAGATAATAACCAGGACTCAATTCAAGAACACAAAAGTAGCATGGACTCAATTCTATCACCGGTTTTAAGTGTCGAATTCTCGCACATAAACACGTGTTCATAACCAACTGCACAGTGCCACCCCCTCCCACCACTATAAACAGCCACAATAATAAGCGGATACCGGCGATTTTTAAGTTTAGCAAATATATCTACAGCTTATTCTAAATTTATATCGTTAACTTCTTCTTTTTCAACATTAAATATCATTAGATCATTTAGCTTTTCATTACCTATGGAAGTGCGTAAATATGACTTAACTTTGTTAAGCGATGAAAAATCCTTTGATTTAATCCTGTCGTAAATGCTAAAGTTTTTAACAATAAAATAATTTTTAAAGTTTCAACAAAAGCGATAAGACATTTTTTTAGGCAAATTGTTTAGAACAATAAATACCATGAATCATGATATATACATATTGTTTACTGAACTGATTGATAGCACGATATTTGTTTATAATTATTATAACCAATGCACTTTTAAGTTGTCATCATGAATCATGATTCATACTATACCAATATTACCAATAGTCAATAAAACTTATAAATGTCAATGTAAAAATTTAATTTAATTTTAATCATCTTAATAATTGTTCAAACATTTTAAATGAAAGGGGAGCAACCGCATCACGCCATGACTCGCTTGACCCCTCCTAAATTACGCCCCTGATCAGAAAATATAATATATAATACCAAAATACGATCCGATCGTTTTGTTTTTGTATAATTTTCTAATCAGAAAGGCCTGGAATGTAAGTACAAATGGAGGCCAGATCACTATATACTTGCAGGTTTAAACTGCTTAAAGCGCCCTGGACCAGTCCCCCTCTATAGGCTCTGTATAAACAATATACCTACTATGTAGAATGTACAATATATAGGATGTAACAGAAAGAACTGACTAAAAATAAAATAAAACATTTACTAATTAAACCTATAACAAAAATTGTTAATATTATTTAATGATTTAATAATTTAAGAAATATTCGCATTTCATCAAATTCCCAAAAATCATATTTTTTAAAAAGTTATTGGGTATTTTATCAAAAAAATATAGATATTTTAAAAAATTCTAAAAAATAAATTACTTGACTTAGATAAATCTTTTTACCATCAAAATAATCAGATTTACAAATTTAAATCAAATTTTCAATACTAAAAATAAATTAACATAAAAATAAATCAATTTTACACATAGCCTTAGCGACTTTTAATGATAAATAAAAAAAAAAGTTAAAAATATTAATTAGAACAAAAGTTATTCCAAAAGTCAGTTCTTTCTGTTACACCTTGTAGATACTAAGCGCGTGTATTTCGAACAAGGAAAAGAATATTGCCGACATGTACCTCTTTGGTGGTTCGAATTCTTTGTAACAAGACGTATTACCTACATAATATGTTCAAAACGTCGGTCCGTCGTTATTATTATACGTATATTCAGAGGCGTATCTGAGTTGAGTCCTAGATAACATTTTTTTACATGGACCCAACTAGAGTATACCTACCTGAAAAACAAATGAGACCTAACTAGATTAAACGGTAAAGCACGATTGAGCATAGAATATTTTATGTGATGTTGCCATATTCACAACATTTTGAAATTTAATATTTTCACTTGTTATTACACCAATTATTATGATATCAGACGCGAACCGTGAGCCGAGCTCCTCGGCTTTATCGACAATGTTATCGATCAATAAATTAGTTCCGGAGCAAAACGACGTTTTAGACATTTAGCATCGGGGGAAATATAAGATAATTAAGATGCAATTCCAAAATTATTAAAGAAATAATATCAGTGTTCAATCACCTATAGTCGTGTATAGTGAGTTTCGTACAAGTGCTTTTATAGTTTCTATTTTTTTTTAATATGAATATAAGTAATATAACAATTATCTTATCAGAAAGAGGCAAAGAATTGGCCTTAGTGAATTTATACAAATATAAATTAATTGGARAGCGCAAAAAAKRTAATCTTTTAAGATGGAGGTGTACGAATAATAAATGTTCAGCAATAATGTTCTCAGGTTTAGATAAACGTAAAATGATTGAAACTGCTGGACAACATAAACACGATCAAAATGTTATTGAAAAAATAGAAACACAAGTTTTGAGAGAAAATTGCAAGAGAAAAACTGAAGAATCAATTTTCACACAGCCACTTAAAATTATTCGCACCGAACTTATTTAACTAAATATTTTTGTACCTATAATACAGTTCAAAATTGAAAATGGCAACGTTGCAGGGTTTTTTATGCTCAATCGTGTTGGTTTTCTTTTGTATTTCAGTTTCCTTTGATACGCCGACAATTTATGCTCAATCGTGTTGCGAAAAAGGTGTTTTATGCTCAATCGTGTCGCAGCCAGATTAAATAAGGGTATTACTGACCCAACTAGTAGGCGCTAATATTCAGTGCTGGCTCGAAATGGTTTTGGTAAAATAATTGTGCCACAGCCAAATATTGCGGGGGTATAGGTTGAGAGAATATCGGATATTTAAAAATTTTGTATTTACATGCAATACATCAACAGTATACTTGTATACAACAATAGTTTGGATTAGTATATTATGTATATTGTATATATAAATTAACTACAGTAACATGCCATATCGAGTCATTGTATCAATACAATTAACTATTAAGTAGGTAACAAATATACATTGTACATCTTTTAACGATATATGGTTACAACAGTGTAGCCTATAGGTAAAGTATACGCCAAGTTAGTAAAGTTGTTAGATAGATAGTTTGTATAGGGAGTCTAGAATAAACAGATAAACTACTTAAATCCGCTTTAAAAGACGTCCAAGAATCAAAAAATTAAATGTTTCCTCTGTAGTCCAATAGCAGTCAACTGGAGGTGATGAAGATAATCTGATAGATCTAATAACCATAGATTATATTTATAATAATCAAATAGGTAGTACATGTTAAAAATTCAGCCACATCCTGCCCTCTCCCCTTGAAAAAAACATTTGAAATTAATT